GAATAGTAGCCAGGCAACCACTTTGAACAGCTTCTCCTCCTGCTCCTCTACCATTAACTTTGGTATCCCCAAGGATTGATCCTTGGTCCTCTCTTATTTCCCATCTCCATGTAGTTACAACATCCAAATGCACATTTGCAGATGTTCACATGTAGCCTAACAACTCCCAGATCACCACCACGACCTCTTTCAACTCCTCCACGGTTGCTAAATTATCAGACTGCTCATCCTAACATCCAGTACTGGATAAACAAATTAAATACAGTGAAAACCAACCTGTAGTTTCCAATCCCTGCTTCGACTTCCATTCCCTCGCAACTCACTCCCTCCCTCTCCCTACCAACGTTAAACCAGCCTGCTGCCTGGATGTCACACTTCGTTTGATCCAGGGAAGAATTTGTGACTTCATACTTGTGCTTCATGACACAGTTTGTAAGTTTGAGGTATGGTCTTCCACATTAGAAATTAAATCATAAACGTAAATTCAGTCAGCAAAAAAGCTGACAAATACTCTAAGGTTCACAAGACAATCAAACGCAAGGTGGTTACAATTCAAAATGTAATTTGTGCTTACTGGATAAGGTCAGAGTGACAGCAGGTGGGTTACTGAGCCAAACATGACATCTGCAGTTATATCAGCAAAGGATATGTGACTCATGTAGATCCTCAAAATTAAAATTTTGCAATTTAAAGGAGTTAATTTGCATTGTCACCAGGAAACAGGATGTGTGTCACATTGCCGTGGAGATGATGGAGTTTTATGGTTGCTCTGTTTTGATCCTATCTCTGTGAATTCAGTTTGTGCACAGGCAGCAGACAAGTCTGGCTGATATTTATTTGGAAAGCAGTTAAGAGATTGTGACATTTTTGGGTAATATGTAGTTGACGACCCATATAGAGTATATGGAAACGTGGTGGAGTCAGGTTCAACTGAGGCATTGAAATGGTTATTTGGGCGTGCAGGGATATGGAGAAAAGGCAGGCCATTGTTACTAGGCAATGGTGCTCTTTTAATGGGTCAGTATAAATACAATGGGCCAGGTGTGGTGTCGTTCAGTGCTGTAACAATTATTTCATTTTGTGATTTTATTTTGTTCCTTAATATTTGTTCTGTGAGCTATGTAGGACTTTAGTAAAGTGGCCCCCATAGTCATTATCTCTCGGACTAGTCCATAAATTACCAGAGTTGACTGAATATATGAGGAAAGAGAAATGAAAGTGCAGCACCAGGAGGTGAGGCAGCAAATCAGAAAATGATGGCAAAAATCTAACCTAACAGGTTAATGCATTTTCTCTTTAGGAATACTGAGACAGCCTATAGTTAGACATAACTCCTTCCCAACTGTTTAACCATTCCCCAAACATCCGTGTCCCAAATTACTAACCACTCGCTAAACAACTGTCCAATTAGGTTGTAGACTTGCTCACCAAGCCATTGTGTTTGATTGCAAATGTTTCATCACCCTGCTAGGTAACATCGTCAGCGCGCCTCCGGTGAAGCGTTGGTGTTCTGTCCTGCTTGTTATTTATATGCCTCAGTTTGTTGGGGTGGTTGGTACCATTTCTGGTTCTGTTTCTCACTGATTCGCGCACGGGGTCTAATTCAATGTGTTTGTTGATGGAGAATACTAGGCCTCCAGGAATTCCCTGGCATGTCTCTGTTTGGCTTGTGCTATTATTGATGTGTTTTTCCAGTCAAATACGTGTCCCTCGTTATCCATGTGTAGCGAGACATGTGAGAATTGGTCATGTCCCTTGGTGGCAAGTTGGTGTTCATTTATCCTGGTTGTCAGTTTTCTTCTGGTTTGGCCTATGTATTGTTTCTCACAGTCCTTACATTACACCATTTTGCTGGTTTTGGGTATGGGATCTTTTACATTCATCAGTAGTGAAGAAAACTGACAGTACTGACAGTACCACTGCACATGGACAACGAGGGACATGAATTCAACTGGGTCAACACATCCATAATTGCACAAGCTAAACAGAGACATGCCAGGGAATTCCTGGAGGCCTGGTATTCCAACCGGAACTCGATCAACAAACGCATTGTATTAGACACTGTGTACAAACTACTGAGAAACAAAACCAGAATTGGTACCAACCACCCCAACAAACTGAGGCAGATAAATAACAAGTGGGACAGAATACCAACGCTTCACCGGAAGCGCACTGATGATGAGTCTGCAACCTCATCCACGACCTGAGCTACAAATCCTCTCAAAAACTTTACACTGTCTAATTACCACACCCCTCTCCCACCAATATCTGGTACCATTGCCCCTAATGACTGTATGATCATCTTTCTAAATGATTATTTATCCACTCCGTCAAATGAAAGTGAACAGTGTGCTGCTGAAAGATGCAAATTGGCAGTGTCGTGCACTCAGCTCCATGATGCTAACACGGGAACATAAACAGGGTGCTGAAGTTGATCAGCCACAGCTGTAAATGGTGTAATGACAGGAACAGCCTGTCTGCTCTGATTCAGTCAGTGGCACTCTCACCTTTCAGTCAAAGGTTTGTGAATTTAAGGGGTACTCTAATCTTGAGCAAACCAGACTCAGGCTAGCATCCTATTTCAGTACTAAGGGAGTACAGCACTAGGTGCCTAGTACGCTAAGCTCCTTGTTCTGAAGAGACATTAAAATGAGCCATTTCAGGCTGATGCAAAAGATCCCACAACATTATCTGATTGGAAGAGGCAGTGGAACTATCTCAGTCCCTTGGCCAATCTTTACTGACAAACTGTCTGGACATTATCACAGCACTGACTGAGAGGAATTATTACATTAGTGACCACATACAAAAACCCTTCCTCAGCTGTCAATTATCCTACGGACATGAAAGGGGCTATTTCAATTCAATACATTTTTTATTTCTTCTTTTGTGCTGAGAGATGACCATAGATAGGGACAAGCTGCTGAAAAGCACGCTAACCCCCTATGTTCTAGGTTGCTAACATCACCAGTGGGAAACCAAAGTAATGATGCTCAGATAGTTCAGTTGATGAGGGGAGTAATGAACTGCCTAACACAATATGGCAGGTAGCTGAGTATCAGTGAACAGGTTTCTGAATTTACAGACAGTTTATTAGTTTCTTTTCCAGACACAAGCCAAAAAAAAACAAATGGATTCCAGACTATAACTCCAACCTTCAGAATGGTTTCAGATACTTACACGTTATTTGCAGTTAAAGTGGAGAGGTTGTTTGGAACACATTTCTTCCCAAGTGCAGCAAAGAGACAAAACAGGGTTGGAAACAAAATGCACACAATACAGATCAGCAGTGTATATCCTCAGATTGCAAATTACTTCATTCAAAAGTTGAACATTCTAGATTTCACAATATTTGTACAACCAGTAGAAAGCAAACCATATGTAGCCCCTTGTGCACAAAGCAGCTTTGACACATACAGCTACAGTGGTTTGGTACAAGGGTCTCAATAACTACAGCTTTTATTATAAGTACATTCAAAGGCTTTATACTGAAACAGGTGGCACAATGACTTAAATCTAAACAATTCTCACTTGTCCAGAGTAGCAGGGCTAACATTTCAGTATCCCCAGAAATCAGCATGGGGACTGCAGAGCGCAATTAGCCCTTACCCAATCATGGTACTGCACTCAACATGCAAACATCATGCTGCCTGCAAATTTATCTGACTGTAGCATGCAGCCCAGTGCTGAAGAGGTGAAAGAAGAGTTAATGATCAGGACAAACCTTGAAAAAGTGGCTTAATGAGCTAGAGAGTATGTCCCAAGGTTCTCTGAGGCGATACTTGAAGTCTTGGTGCAGGAGATACTCAAGAAGAGAGAGCTCGTCTTCCCTCAGGGAGTTAGAAGGCTTTGCAGGTAGATGTTAAGAAAGTGATGGGAACGGGAAGAGTTTGAGAGTGACAGGGACACTTTTCATACCATAGCGGGATCCGTCATGCGTATCTCATGACGAGGAACACGTTAGGAATTGCTATGTTTCAGAGATAGTAGGAACTGCAGATGCTGGAGAATCTGAGATAACAAGGTGTAGAGCTGGATGAACACAGCAGGCCAAGCAGCATCATAGGAGCAGGAAGGCTCTGATGCTGCTTGGCCTGCTGTGTTCATCCAGTTCTACACCTTGTTATCTCAGGAATTGCTATGTGACTGCTTTAATCTTTAGTTCAGCCAGATTTTTCCAATCTTCACTGGTTTCCAATTTTGAACAGCAAATAAAATAGTTTAAAAGCACACAAAAAGTTATAATAAGCTAGTTACATTGGTCAACTGCTAACAATTTCAAAATTCCAGACAGCCAGATAAAAAAAGGTAACAATTCGAACAAAAGTTCGTAAAATGAATCTGTCTCCACAAGAAAAAAAAAGACAGACAGTACAGATTGAGATAGTGCCACCTTAGATCATCTATAATGCTGTACTCAGAGAGCAGACAACCTAACAGTATTCAACATCCAAGGGAAGAATTGTTACAAATTAAAGTCTCATTGGTTGCTGTGTATTTTCTTCCATGTATTGGGTTCTTTGTACAAACTGAGCAAGAGACAGGAAGTGAACTGTTGATGAAAGGTACAAATAACCCCATCCTCAGGAAGTACTTCACCATTATACAACAACAACTCTGGGCAAAAATACTCACCACACAAACAATCTGAAACAAAACTCAATTGAAAACATTTGACAATACAGTAATAACCCTCCCAGAATTAAACTCCAGCTTCAGTCATTCCTTCATGATATTACAAGGTCAATCTCCTGCTTCTTATACCTGCAGTCAGGATATACTGTGCTGACTGATATAGGGGATTTGGACTTTTCCACATAAGAGTAAATGAATCATCATGGATTTATTATCACTGTACATATTTTGTAGTATCAGTTAAGTAGTCACATGGGATTTTCTTTGCCCTCTGCTAAGCTATGGTACCTAGAATATTGAGAAATGGTTTTGACAAAGGGAAGCCAATGGCCAAATTTTGAGAACAGATTGAAATTAGCTCTTACTTGTATGTTCGGGTTTTGTCCAACCAGATTCCGCAGATAATGGAACCAACCATTCCAGCAACCACAATAGTGAGCCCAATCCTCCCAGCATTCAATTCTTCACCCTGAGAGAAAGCAGAAAATAATCAGCAGGTTCCCCAAAGTTGATAGTAGTACCATTCTTCTCTGGTCTGCACTCGTACTCACACTGTAGGTCATCAACACTGAATCTAAAACCAGCTTTCTATTAAATAGGGTTCATTTAAAAATAAAACCATTGGATTTCTGGATTATTTATGTCGTCAGTAATCCTTGTTGCTGATAGTTGATTTCTCCAGATTCTAATCTAGTAGGTAAGATCTCTTCAAGGTAAAAGTGGTTAGCATCTTGAAGATGTAACAACTAGGACAGTTGCCTGGAGATTTGCTAAGGGTAGGATTTTTTGACTGTGATGTTATCTGCCCCATTCCTTTATTCCTTATTCATTCACAGGATGAGGGCATCGCTGGCCAAGCAGCATTTATTGCTCATCCCTCATTGCCCAGAGGGCAGTTCGGAGTCAGCCACATTACTGTGGGTCTGGAATCACATGTAGGCCAGACCAGGTAAGGATGGCAGTTTCCTTCCCTAAAGGACATTAGTGAACCAGATGGGTTTTTATGACAATCGACAATGGATTCATGGTCATCATTAGATTCTGGATTCCAGGTATTTTATTGAATTCAAATTCCACCATCTGCCACAGCAGGATTTGAACCCAGGTCCCTGGATGTTATCTGGGCCTCTGGATTAATAGTCCAGCGATAATACCACTAGGCCATCGCCTTCCCATTACCAAAAGAGTACTGAACTTATTCTTGCTCATTCCCGCAGCTGTTTACCACCGTGGGGGCATTGTTGGCTCAAGGTGAGACCTCCACACCCCCATTTTGGAGGCAGTCCTGGAATTTTTTTTTTGTTGTTGGGGGGAGCTTCTGATGGACAAGAGGACCACTTGCATAGCACGAGCCTATGCAGCCAAAATTGACAGAATTCCCCTGGCTGCAGCTAAAACAGCGATGAGACAAAATGAGAGAACTGGCCATTAATTGGTCACTTAAGGACCTCAACTGGCCCGGGGCAGATGGGCTGCCAACGTCTCCCTCACAGTTCATTTGGGAGATAGGCCCAGGGCAAGCACATAGAGTGTAGGCAGAACACATTGCATCTTAAGAGCACCATCTTAAAATCCGTGGGGAGGGAATTGTAAAATTTTGTCCAATATTTCATACTTTCACTGTTAAAACAGTTACGTTGGGGAGGAATTGATTCACATTTCTTGTCTTTATTCTTAAGGTTTGCTAAGAGGGTAGGTTCAAAATACTTCCAAAATACAAATAAAACCACAAAGTCTGCAACCAGTTACAAATGCCTCAAGCTCAAACTGCACACGTAAGGACTCGATTGAGTCAATAAATAGAGAAATACAAAACAGGCCAGCAATGTATTTACAACCTTTCCTAGTGCATTACACAAGCCCTTATTTCAAAACCAGATCACTGCTCCTAAATCACCAATGAGATGGCTTCATGTCCTTAACTGGCAACTGGACAAGCAAGTGGACAGGTTTATGGTGTAGATTTACATCTAAGAGACTGAGGTTGGCCAACCAGGCAAAGTGAAGTTCAATGTGACAATGTTGTGGTGAAACAGAATGCAACACACTGACATAGTGCAAGCTATCAATTTCAGCTATCTATTAATGCAGAGGCAGCAGAAGAATCCAATCCCTGCTCACAAAAAAGGAAGAAAACTTTGTGAAGTGTTATCTCAGACTCGAGTCTTGAACATCCCAACTGCCAATTTTCAGACTGAGGATAAGGAGCAGGTGTCCATTCCACCTCTCAACAGGGATAGCATGAGTGGAGAGCCCAGCACAAGAGAAAATATGCTAAAAAAAGTTTTATCCTTAAAATAAGAAAGTACAGAGGTACAGGTCGGTGGTTGCTGTAAGTATGCTTTCTGTACATTAAATCTTACTGAACAGAAGGTGGCCCTTTGGCCCATCATGTCTGTTGTGTCCTGTTACAATGCACTGTGCTGGAAACTGGATCTTTATGCAGATAAACAACACTGTTCAGTTTGAGGTCCCTTAGCCTGATCAAATTGAACAGTTTCACTTGCCCTTGAATGACTGAAGAATACCTCCTACATTTGGCACGTTACATAGATACTTTACTCTCCTTTCCTTTCAAACATTGTGATCACTCACTGCTATGTCACGATGCCTACGTCTGTTACTGAAAACAATCAGGACAGAAATAAACACATGAATCTTCTTCATTCTTTAAATAAAAACATTGGGATACAGCACAGAAATAAACACATGTAATTACTAGGGAAAAGCACTGAAGACAGTTTTAAAACTAACAACATTATAATGGGTTCCTTGAATTTCTCGCTGAGTTAAATAACCTGGTGATGGGCAAATAAACAAGCATCTCTCAGAAAGGAGACAATGACTGATGATATGGGAGAAGGATGGAAAGTTTTTTTTAGAGAATTCCAGTCTATATAAAAAGACACTAGCTTGTTGTGAAATGTTATTGCTTTTCCTGATTTTCAGGCAGGCTCAGGCATATCTCCTGTTAGAAACAGGCATCAGCATCATTAGACAACCAACTGGCATAATTAAGTCTGGCACCTTTTACACTGCTCCTTGTATGGACTAGTGCCCCCCGACAGAAGCTCAAATCCAGAGGTGACTGTTTCTGGTGATATCTAGGAGTAAGGGTGTGTGGTTACGTTAATAGACGGTAATCCAGAGATCTGGGATAATCATCTAGGAAATTGACTTCAAAGTCCACTGTGGTCATTACAGAACTTGAATTCTCATTATGAAAATCTGGAATTAGTAACTTGTATGATGCTGGTGTATTGTCAAAAAATTCCAATGGGTTTTCCAGTCTGTTTAAGGAAGGAATCCTGCTGCCCTTACTCAGCCACTGGTTGGATGTTCTCTGAACTGACCTGAAATGACAGCTTTTGTATGAAACCTACCGGTAACAGTTCAAGAAGACAACATACGTCTGGCTTCAGGGCAACCAACGACAGGCAAATAAATCAGAGAAGGCCATGTCCCGAGAAAGAAAGACACTCAGCAGCAATCAGTCTGATCTGGGCAGATCTCTCTGAGACATTTCTGTGTCAGTTGCAGTATACCTTCCACTTGAATAGGTGTGAAAGTGCTGTTGGCCCAGCAGTGTTTCATGCTGCCTCTTGGTGTTGCTCCTTTATAGAACATAGAACAGAACATAGAACATAGAACAGTACAGCACAGTACAGGCCGTTCGGCCCACAATGTTGTGCCGATCTGTTATCTACTAAGATCAATCTACCCTGCATACCCTACATTTTACTATCCTCTATGTGCCTATCCAAGAGTCGCTTAAAAGTCTCTAAAGTATCTGACTCCACTACCACTGCCGGCAGCGCATTCCACACACCCACCACTCTCTGTGCAAAGGACCTACCTCTGCCATCTCCCCTATACTTTCTTCCAATCACCTTAAAATTATGCCCCCTTGAAATAGTCATTTCCGCCCTGGGAAAAAGTCTCTGGCTACCCACTCTATCTATGCCTCTCATCATCTTGTAAAATGTATGTTCCAGATCAAAATAATACTTTGCCTTGAACAGGGGGCCTGTAACAAATGCATCACACAGCCTTCCACCTTTAAGTGGGACGCCCACTGGGAACATATTCGACACTGACGTACTTGTTTGATCTTGCAATGGGTTGTGGCACAGCCCATTATTTGTTCCCCATCCGTAAACGAGCCACCCATTTTAATCCCAGTCACCATTACCTGGTCCATATCCTCAGAGGTTACAGAGCTACAGCTACAGATCCAACTTCCTTTTAAATGAATTGAGGGTTCCTGCCTCAACCACCAAACTGGGCAGTGAATTCCAAATATTCTCCATATTGTGGATGAAATGTTTTTCCTCATGTTCTCTCTAATCTTTCTACCAATCACCTTAAACTTGTATGCCCCCAGTAAATGACATCTCCATGAAGGGAAACAGGTCGTCCCTGTGCACTCTGTTCAAGCTCCTCAGTATTTTGTACGCCTTGATTAAGTCACTACTTACCTTCCCCTTTTTCAAAGGAAAATAACCCTAACCAATCCAATCTTTCCTCATAGCTGCCATTTTCCAAACCTGACAACATTCCTGTAAATCTCCTCTGTATTCTCTCCAAGGCAACTATATCCTTCCTGTGATTTGGCAACCAGAATGGTATGCAAAACTCCAACCAGTATCTGATATAGTTCCAGCATTCAACATCCCTGCTCTTATATTCATTGCCCCTCCCAATGAAGGAATGCAACCCATTTGGCACCTTTACCAACCTGCAACTGGGTGGCTCTTTCTCTAGGTCATTTCAGAGAGCAGTTATGAGTCAACCACACTGCTATTTGTCTGGAGTCACATGTAGGCCAGACCAGGTAAGGACAATAGATTTCCTCCCCTCAAGGGCATTAGTGATCCAGGTGGGAATTTACAACAAATCAGGGACTAGATCTCCATTAGACTGGCTTTTAATTCCTAAGTTTATCGGATTAAGATGTCTCAAAGATGGTATTTGAGGCCATGCCTCTAACCATTAGCCTGGGCTTCTGGATTTACCACACCATTACCATTACCACTACACCAGCACTTCCAGTTTCAGCCCTAATGTCCAGCACTGGCTGTAAAGCCAATTACTCCCATGTTTCAGATAGAGTTAACGTTAGGGTTCTCTTATTACTAGGCTTGAGGGCTGTGTATGGGCACACCTAACCTCATGTGAAATGAGGCACTGAATAATTGTTGCTGTTGATTGATTGTCTTAGAGACTGAATTGATAGATTTTACAGCTTGGACCATAAAATCGCTCTACATTGTTCTTATGACTAATGTTTAGTTTTAAACTAAAATCAATAAAGTACAAGGAACTATCTATCTGTCATTGATACAAAGAGCTATTTGCCAGCTCAAGTAAAACATGGTTGTGTGGCAAGGGAGGATTATAGGGTCATTTCACATAGTAAAAAAGCTGTCCTCATATTTTCCCTAGTGTGACATGAACGTACTCCTGTGG